GCGGCAGGGAGCTGCCCAGGGCATCCCCCGCGCTGCTGGCCTGGCTCGGAACAGGAGTCTGTCTTCGGAGGAACAAGTGCTTCAGGCCAAGAGAAAGGCTTAATTTTGACAAGAGCATAGTGGAAGCTCGAGCTGTGCTGAGTTCTTTCTGAAACTTGGCTTTATTTTGAGCTAATCTACTTCAGACAAAAATGCAGTGGCGTCTAGTGTGAACATCAGCACAATGTTGGTAGCAAATAGCTGTTTTTTAAACAAAAAGTCTGCCTCCGAGTTTGTACTTCATAAATTGATGCTTGAAGACTTATTCAGTGCCCTTGAAGAAAGGCTGGGTGCAGCTGTGCAGCTGTGGTAGCAGTAGTTGTGAAGTTGTGGGGTTTTTTTTTTTTCCTTTTTTTTTTCTTTTTTTTTTCCTTTTCCCCTTGACCACCTATGACCTGAAAGTCAGGCTTTGGGATGTAGACCATCACAGAGCTTAAGGGAGACGTCATAATTTCTCTCCTCCCGTAGCCATATGGCAGAGGAGGTAGAGAGGCCTCCAGACTGTTAGAACTGCGTGTACTGCCTCGGGCTATTTACCAAAGCGCGAAGGCTGCCTTGGGACTCGCTATGCTGCCATAGTTAGTACTGTTTATTAATTACCTACTGTAGAATAATTCACCTATGTAGGCCTGAAACATTTAGCCTTTGTGGGCTTTGTTTTTGTCTTCTGTTTTTCTGTTTTTGTAACAGTCAGAAGACAGCAGATGGGGTTACATCTAGTAAATCACAAAACCATTAAAAGGTAAAATTTCTAATATGCTTATGAGATTGTTCAACAAATGTAAAGTTTTTTTTAAAAAAATAAAGTATGCTTGCCCATGTCTTTCCATTTTCATTGTTTGACTTTCTCATTGCTCTTAAAATGTCTCCTCGTTAATCAGAAGAGGCAGGTGGAGGCAGCAGATCTAGTTTCCGCAGTGTGATCTGGGAAAACATCATTTTTTCTTACAGAAAATGTGCACCCTAGCACTGACGCTGTGCTAGGTTGAAGGGCATCTATGTATTGCATTAAGGTAATGGGCTCCCAATGTAAGGACCATGGTGAAAGTTGCTCAGCTGCATTATTTTTTTGGAAGTATCCTATTTCTAGCTCATATTCTTAAACAGCTAAAGAAGAGGCAGATGGTTTTGCTTATACATATTACAGCTAAATATAAGGAGGCTATGCTGTTAAAGTCTCTTATTTGAAGTTTTAAATCTCTTAACCAAAATCATTGGAAAAGTAATAGCAGTAAAGGTATCTGTAGGATATTTGGCCAAAATAAGCAACAGGTATTTTCCCAGGTACAAAACTTAATATCTTGTCTTACGAGTCTTTTCAGGGTACCTTGATTTTCTAAAGTAAGCCTAGCATAGCAAGAGCTAGTCACCCTGCAGCAAAAAAGCTCTGGAAAGTTCATAGTCTCTTTGGCATCACTACTTTGGAGGTAACTGAAATGAATCTTTGCTTCTGATGTTTCCTGCTAGGATAATGCTCCTCTTTCTGCATGCTCTCTGTTTCTATAAAGAAATACAAAACCTCATAAACAGCTATTTACCCAAGCTAATGTATGCCTGGTATTTCAGAACAGCCTAAAAGTAGGTCCTCACCTTGAGGATTTCTAATGTACTATATATAGCACATAATGTAGGTGGCCTGGAATAGCTTCTGGGCTTGAGAGGATTTATGTAGGTACTTTGGGAACTTTAGAGTGGATGTTCTTTATCTGGAAAAGAAGTTAGGAGTATATATTTTATCAATACATGACTAACATTGTGATAGATTTTTTTCAGACCTGTAGAGGATTGTAACAATGTTTTGTTTATGAAGAAACATCAATTAGAGGCATCTGTCAAATATTTGCATATACAGCAATTCTTTTGGGGGGAGTGGAGAGGGAAGAAGGGAATTCTTCTTTTATATATATATTTCACAGCTTTGGAATAAAAAATGCTAAAATATTCAGCTAAAAATACAAGCAGACTAAACAGACTGAAAACACTCTCCCTTATCTCATTTCCCCAGGAGGTTCTGCTTGAGATAGGAAAAAGAGATATCAAGTACCAGGTTCAGGCTTATTCTGTGACCTATGGTAGATTGCCATCTCTTTTGCTGCAACTGAATATATGAAATATGAATAAATCTTCTCATAAAAGTAGTGAATTTGAACTTGAAGCGGAAATGCCAATGGAATTTTTACAAGTTAGTTTTACAAACTGGCTCTGTAAGCTGTCGTCCAAAGTGTCTCATTTTTCCTTATCGATTGCATTACTTTTTTCTGGGAAAAAAAGAAAGTTCGTTCATTTTACAGAATATATTTGTTTTACTAATAAACCCTGAAAAAAATCAGGGAAATGCAGTTGAGGGAGTAATTGTTTCTCTTAGCTGTTAAAGGGCTGAAATAGTATTTAGAAGCAGCATTGTTAAGGCTGACTGGTCTTTTGGGGGGCTGGGTTTTGGGTGGTTGATATTGCAGGTTGCCTGATATGATAGTAAAATGTGTCTGCAGTGCCAAGTAATGCACTTTGTTAATTTATTTATGAAAGCATCTTACTGATAACAGAATGATTTCCCAGACCAACTGCGTGCCTGTCATTAAGCTCCTTACAGTGCTTGTCCTTATATCATTTTGTTTAATTTAAAAACCTTGTTTTGTGTTATCTTGTAGACTTCGATTGTTTACAGAGGACTTGACAAATGGCTGTTTTTTTTTTTTTGTTTTATTTGAAGTGTTCAAAGTTCCTGGGACTGAAAAAATACATATTTTAACTTAGTCTTTACCTGTCCATTTTTAAAACTTGTAGATGACTTTGTTTACCTTGGTTTTCTTAACCGAGCTCCTGCCAGAAGATTTTCTTACATATGTTATATCAGTTTCAAAAATACTGAGTATCACAAGTCTCAAGTTAGAATGAGCATCTGTGTGTGCTCTACAGAGTCACTTCCAATGTAGTGGTCAGATATGTGTCATAAACTTGTGTGGCCTGTTTGTCTTAAATTATAAATAGTTACATATATGCACTTCCCTGTTTTACTAATGTTCTAGTGCTGGCCTGTTCCTGGCACTAGCCCAACACCTAGCTGAGCCTATATCTCCCTCTCATTTGAACAGATTGTTTGAAACATCATTTGAGGTTCAGACCATCTGATTTCTTTAACTGTTTATGAAATGTGGCAGTGCTATATTGTGCAGAGGTCAAATGAGCCTCTCTTTTAAAGAGCCCTTTACAGGTTTCAAAAGCATCTTAGCATGTGTTGTTTCTCACCATCTCTCATTCTGAATTCTCAGAAGAGCAATCTTACTTCAGAAGTTAGTCACTAGAAAAAATAGTTGAGAAGGCACATGTTTTTCAGTCAGCGCCTTGAGTGTTCTGCTGAATGTCTGCAGTAGCAGCGGTAGAACTCATATGCCTCATGCATATAGCTAAGCACTATTTCTATCTGAGAAACTTTTCCCTTTAACAAATGGGAGTGAGGTGGGGGGAGAACATGAAAAAGGTATCTTTAAGAAACCATTCACATTTCTCTAGCCTTTTGCCTTGGCAACATCATCCTTCCTGCCCCAATATAGCTAGCATCTCTGAAGTTGTGTTTTACAGTTACTGTACGCTGACACTTTTTTCTCATGAAAAAATATAAGCATACTTCCTCCTGACAAAGCAGTTAGGTTTTTTGTGTATTGTGTGCCTATAGGCCCCCAAGTATCTTTGCTGTTTGTTTCTATCATGATCTTAATTTCTGGCAAGTCTCTTTCTTGACAACTGAAGAAGTCAAACTGTCTAAGTATACTTGTTGATGACACAGCCACTGTTGGCTGCAGATCCTATTGGTTTCTCTTAACTTACCAGTTGTTACATATGTATTCTTTGTGAAATAAACAAAAGTATAAGAGCTACAAAAGATTTGCGCTATGCATTCTCCTCTATACTGACCTGATTTCTTACTCAGATAATTCTTATAAATAGCCTCTGAATGAAGGCTCAAGAAATAGCATAAGCTTGAGTCTGTGGAAGTGCCGTACTTCAAATGTTTCATCCCATATCCCTGTTAATATTTTTAATACATTATAATATTCTGAACATCTCGAAGGTGTTATTGATTACCATGTTTAAATCTGTAATTAACAAACTGCTTTTTTTCAAATGGTCCTTTACTGGTGTATATTTTTAACATGAAAATATAATTCATTTTACTGATAAGTACTAGGCTATTTTTTCCTATTTCGTAATTGGAATAAAATTCGCGATTCATATATAAATATTTTACCTATATGTTTGATAAGAAAAAAAAGCTTACATTATTTGCTGTTGTGGATTTAAGTAATGTAATTCATCTTGCTTCTGCTTTTAATTGTGTTATACAAAGCACTGTAAGTTTATGTTAATACAATTCATTGTAAATTCTAACTAAATTTGCCTTCACATGGAGGTCATGGATTGGTTTAATTGTATGTAGAAGTACTGTGCAAGTAATTAGTATATACTTCAATAGTCTGCCCTGTAAGACCTATAGATATATATCTGAAGCTATGGTAAAACTGAAGTATGGTACAAGTGCTCTGGGAAATTTTATTCTCCTGTTATTTTGTCATTTTTGATGACAGTTCTGATGCTAAGTGTGTTGTGGACATTGGGAAATGTTGATACACTTCTGTGAAATCTTTTTTAGATCCAGAGAGGGCTTGTTATCTACATATGCTTCTTCAAAGGTGCCGATGAAGATCTTGTTCCAAAAATTGGTATGATACAATCTTCCTTACAAATTCTTGTATTGTTTAGAGGAGAATTAAGAAAAGTGGTTAAAGAGGAGAAGGCAGCAACCACTTGGATTAAGAGAAGTCAAAAACCTTCATATAGCATTATTCCAAATCAAACAGCTGTCTGAAAGAGGTTGTTTTTTATTGCAGTTTTCTTTGTCCATTTGCTAACAATTGATCTGCTACAAAGTCAGTTAACACTGAATGTTCATGGTAGCATTCCAGGAAATGCAAAAAAAAAAATGCACCAATTATCTGGCATATTTTTATATATATATATATATAAATATGTTTGATATATATATCAAACAATAGCTTCAGTCCAAGACTGAGTTCAACTTAAGGAAACCTATTTTCAAATAGATTATGGCTTGATTTAAGGAATACTTTAATTCTGATCTTGCTTTATGTGCAGTGTTTGAAAGCTAGAGCCAGCAGAGGGAGTTGGGTGGATAATTAGTGTCCTTCTCATCTTGTTTGAGACATACTATCTATACTGTTAGTCATTCAAGTGCAATTTTTCACATCAAAAGTGATCAGGAGCATCTGCAGTTCTTCTCTTTTTCCTAGCACCCATTTTAATATTTACATCAAAACAGAGAAGATGTTGTGAATAAGGCCAAATGCTGGTGATTTTTTCTCAGCCTTCGTCCCGTGTGGTTTTGTTTTTGTTTAACTTTTATTTCATTTCTTTCTCCTCTTTCCATCTGTCAGCAGTGCTCAATCACATGGAGAAACTCAGTAATCCCATCTAGTCAGCACAGAAGTGTACCCTTGTATTTTGGGGGGAGTTTGTTGATCTCGGTTTCACTAAACCTATTTTACAACTACTTGCTGGGAGCAGCAGAAACACCTGGCAATGCATAAGCACAGGCCCTACTGCAGGTGCTGATGGCAGCTCCCATGGGGCTCCATCTCAGTATTGGAGGGCACAGTTGTTGTGGTGTTAAACTACCTTGAAATCTTGGGGTGTATTTAAAACAAGCTATGAAAGTTGATGTTGTGCTTGCAGGAGTTTTGTGAGAATATTACTTAAGAGTAATAACGTTTCTGCTGCAAGACAGCTGGAATGGGGCAGAAATGAAAGCTCTGTCTCCTGTTAGGAGATTCATCCACTACCACTATTAACTGTTTTAAGGGATATTTTTTCCTAAATATATTTTGAACATTGAGGTTTTTGTTGCTTCTGAATTGTAACTTTTTGCTTCAAACAATATTCTTCTGTTAAACTTAACTGGGTTTAGAGAGATCTGAGATCTTTCCCTCTTTTCTCAGAAGAAAAGCTGACCCCTGCACGTTGCTAAGTGTAATTCTGCAGGGTACTCCAGTTCAGACTGTTTTTTTTGACCCTGCGTCACTCTCCATACTGTCCCCTTTGCTTCAGCAGAATTCTTTGTGGGTTTGACATTGCTACAGTTATAAATAGAATTAAAAGAAATCCAAGATAGAAACTTCCCCAAAGTGTATTAAAGATTTCCCAACCTTCTACTTTGCTTGTGCAAGCACCAGACTCATTATACAATGTTTGGACCACAAGTAGTCAGTGCTTGGCTCCTAAGATTCTATGGGGAGCTTCTGCTAGAGCAACAACTGTCAGACAAATTATATTAATACATTCTTTCATGTTCTTCACAATATTCAGAAATCTTAGTCTGATAATATTGACTGCCAGTGTCTTCTCTCATTAAAATCTGCCTCTTTTCAAATATGAGTTGTACTCAATAATTTGATTATTAGAGTTCAGATAAAGAACTAACAAAATACTTTAAATATTTTATTAAATGGCTTGTCACACAACTCTCAAATCTTGCTTTGTAGTGTGATGTTGAATTTTTGTTACACTAATTCTTGTTTTATTTTTATTTGCAGTCAATACGCTGCTGAATGTTCAGTTAAGTGAAAATGAAAGTGGCAAGTACGTTTCCGTTCTTGATTTGCCAGGCAGTGTGCTAATCATACCTCAAGCTACACTAGGTGGTAAGCCGAAAGGAAAAAGGATGCAGTACCATACCAACATTGAAAAAGAAAAAGGGTTTGAACTTTATTCTCAGTTTGTGTCTCTGTGTGAGAAAGAAATTGCTGCCAATGCCAAATGCATGGAAGCAGGTGTTTTGGTCAAGCATGGCACATATGGAAACAGGCAGGTGTTAAACCTGGATACAAATGGACCTTTCACTCATTTGATTGAATTTTGAAAAAAAAAATAAATGTTGTCTTGGATACAGTGTTGGCTCGCAATTGTATTGCTTTTTATTTCTGAGCATTAATGCACTTAAGTGAGTTGGGTGGTACAGTGTAAGAATGACTGTTTCACTCATTTAACTGGTGTCACCAATTTCAGTAAATACGGTGATCTTTGAGACTGTTTTGTGGTAATGAGCGTTTTACATCCATCTTAATGTGAAATATTACCAAAATACAATTGATTCAATGAAAACATTTAACACAGGATTTTAAAAAGATCTTATATTGGGGATATTGCCTGTGTTATTTAATGACAGATATTGCATGTAAAGTACAATTAGGAAAGTAAAGAGATAAAATGCTATATGTATGATTCTGTGTTCCCTGAATTCCTTTTTTATGTCCTTCTATTTTCATCTCTAAATTAGAAATACTGTCTACTTCACAAAAATACTGGAAGTAGAAATTCCCTGAATTTTTAACCTCTCAGTAAGTCCTAGTTAATACAGGCTGTCCGCTTGCATCAGCAGTTTGCAGCGGTGGCTGCTTTTAGGTGGTCCTGGGATTGAACACAGTTCCGGGGGATCGAGCTCCATTTCTGGGGCCTTGAGGAGGGAATAGTGAGGCATGGCAGAGACTGAAGTTACTGAATTGTTTTCTTGAATTTGCACTCTGTCTCCCCTCTTGTGTACTGCTTGCTCTGACTTAGCCCATGTTCTGTTTTCCTTGTCTGGTTGAATATTCATTTGTTTCATAACATAGCTTTGGGAAAAGTACTAAAATACAGAAACAAAAATAAAAATGGTATGATAAAAGCTGTCATATCACTTTTCTCTCTGCCTGAATTTCTTCCCTCCACCTTCCTATTGAGTTTCTAAAGCAGAGACTAGTGTATATCCCTTACATATCATGACAAGAGCAGAGACAATTTTACGTATGTTTCTATATTCCTCTGATAGAAGGTGCTGCTGGAAAACAAAATAGCTCGTGTGTCCTACAGATTACAGTAAGTCTTAAGTTTTTATGTTAAGTAATGGTCTGTTTCATGTTTCCTCATATAAGCTTAGATTGAGAATCAGTATTTAGAAATATTTTGCCACTATTTTTAATGAAGTTAGATGTGTAATCTGCAGACTCAAAGTAGATAATGAGTCGCACTTTGAACAGATAAGAAGTTCTTAGTTTTGCTGCAAAAGAATAATAGATTTTTGTATTACCATAATGTGCAGTTAGTAATTACGAAATACTTAAGAATGCTGAGTTTCTGGCAATTGGTGTTCTTATAGCTGAAGGAAAAGCTATTCACATAAATGGTCAGGAAATAGTATTTTAGGTCTCAAATTACATATTTATTCATTAATAATTAACAGCTTTGACATGCCATATGAATCATGTGCCAAGCTCTTAATAGACATGTAAATAAGATTGTCCTCATGTTAATAACTGCTACAAATTCATCCTGATTTTTTTTCCACTTGGGAGACGGGGAAGGAATCTTTATGTTGTAGATCAAATCCTAAAACATCCTGAGTAATACCACAGCTCACTGACCTTACAGGAGTTGCAGATCTCAGGCATGAATCCTCTGAGGCCTAACAGAAAATCTATAGGGCGCTTCCCCCCCCCAGCCCGGCTCCAGAAAAGTCTTTAGAAACCTGACAATTATCTCTGTTTCAAAGGTCCTACAGATTCAGAAAGAGATCAGGTTGAAGTTAGTGTAAAGCAGACTTTCAACTGAATTTTGCCTTGATGTCACTTACAAAAAATAAGAGATTCTTGTGTAAAAGCTGTGCCTTGTCCTAAGAACTACTGAAATACAACTCTTTTAATTCTATAAATATAGGATAACATCTTGGGATATTTACTTATCTATCAGCGTTAGATAAATTTATTTATCTATTTTGAGATACAGATTTCTGCAGTCTTTTGCTACAGCAAAAATTGACTACTCAGAGGGATGTGTCCCTTGTTCTGCGTTATTTACATTTATTATTGATTTGTGATCCATTTAGTGAAAGAAACCATTATAACATGGTGGACCATACTGATGAAAAATTGATTAAAATAAATTTTCAAAGCCAAATGCTCATATCTTTCTGACATGAATATATGCCTTAAGCAATGACATGGCACTGCTTTAGAAAGTTTTTATTCTGTAACTAAACTAAAGCTCAAATAATTCTCCTGTTCTACATTTAGAGATTATCTGTTGGATGACAGATAGTATTCTGACTTCCTTGAAATAAAGTAAAAAATCAAGAGTCTTTATGCCACTCTAGTTTGATGAGATCCCAGAGGATGGCTCAACTATCACACAGTAATTCTTAGCCCAAGTCTTCTCTAACTCATTCACAGTGTACACACACCCAGGGAGCATGCATGGACTATGGACTCATAAAACTAACGAGTTCGAGTGCAATAGCTTATGGTCTGGTCTGCAGTATGCCTACTTCCTTCCGTGCCCTTCATGACCATCTTTACCTCAGTTACATATAGTATGCAACGTGCAAATATCGATCTAAAATTGCAGAGTAATAAACATCTCTTCTAGTACTTTCTGCCTCTGAAAATCTATTGCATAGTGAGTTTGTCTTCACCAAAGTACAATTTAAAAAACACTTTCAGTTTGTATAATCTCCTACTCTTGCTGTCCATGTCAAAGCTCTCCGCATATGTAGCATTTTATCTGAATGTTAAACAGGTGTCTGCCAATTTGTTTTCTTGCATAATTGACCTGCTTTGCTCTTTTAGATGGAATAGGTACGCAGATGTCCTTCCAAGTTTGAAAACTTAGTTTCTGTGATCCTCAAATGTGGCACATTGGCATTGCATTATCATACTTTTTTGCAACTTGTACTGTGGTTCTATGACATTATGTAGCCCTGTAGTCCAGTAATAGAGTATTGCTAGTAACAGGCCACAGGTTTGTCCTGAGTTGGTAAGGCTCACAACTGAGGCTTATCGGACTTGATTTGTCTGAACTTTCCTTGGCCCTCCTGGATCCTTGGTTTTACCTGTTTTAGTTGGAATATTTTAAGGACAGAAAGCTATGGCTAATACGTTTCTGTTTTGCTTTGTGTGGTATAACCACAGTTTTTATATAGTAACATGTATTGTGTAAAATGAGATATAATACTTTATTAATAGAGTAGATATTAAATATTGTAGAGAAATAACATCTGTTTCTTGCTGTGAAAAGGCAAAAGATACAGTGTAGAGGAGGACTGGCATGGGGCATGAGGCTCAAGCAGGCATTGGAAACCCCAGGGTTATAAACAACCAGTAGTCAAGTAAAGGGCAGACCTGGTGCTAGATAAAAACAGCTATTTTTCTTTTTGCCGGTGACAAGATTTTGTACGTAAACACTGCAGACTGTTGCTTACTGATCTTGAGATGACACCCACTTGATAGACTGTTGGATATTTGCCTGTTTCTGCATTGTGTTTCAGTGCAACTGTGATGCCTGCTTTTGCTTAGCACGGAAGCTACATGAGAATTCCTTTTTGTGCTCTAACTTTGTGCAATCTGTTTACTCGCTTCCTGAGAAGTGAGTTCCCGCCAGCCTGAGGCACTTACTTGGTTTTAAGAGTAGTGCATGACCAGATGAACCTCACCTATCATATAAAAATAGCTTCTTTAGAGACAGGGGTTCAAATCTCTTAATTTTCCATTATTTTCTGGTTTTAGTCTCTTAACATTCTCCTTTTCTCTGTAGGGGCTTCTGTGAATACGTTGTGTATCTGTTCTGAAGCTGGAGTGGAACATTACCGAGTGCTAGAGCAGTCTTGGGAAAGCCACTGCTTGGTTGCACGAGGTTTGTCACCAACCCCTTATGTGACTGACTTGATTTCTTCATTTCTCTGTTGACATCTAATGTAGGTATCCTTAGCATATCCCTTAGGCATATTCAGGAAAACAAAGAGTCGCTGTATTAGTGCATTGTCTAGCACAGTGAGACCTGTCTCTAGATCCACAGGCTGCCTTGTCTTAGCAAAAGCACTGAGATCACAGTAAAAGCAGGAAACAGCTGTTGCTGTCAAGCTCTGTCTTGGGTAAAGATTGCTCAAAATCTGAGACCCTTATCAATTTAGGGAATTGAGAGAGAAAAACAAACAAACAAAAAACCACCCCGCAGTTAGAATAGCCTAAATAGTATGAAAGTATTGCACATTTTTTATTTTAACCAGCACTGCCCACTAGTCCAATTATTGTCTGTATGTGGCTTCAGGCAAAGCAATTTTTATGCTCCACTTTTTCCAAGTATAAGATGAAACTAGAACAAAAAGCGAGAAGAGGGATTTTAAAATCACTGCCCTTTTTTTTTTTTTTTTTTTTTTACTAAAGGGAGAAAGTTACCTTTGTTATTTTTGTTTTGGAATGCAGGGGCTGGAGCTGTATGAGTTTGACTTTTACTTTCTCCTGTTTTGGCTTCTGCCTCACAAATGTGGCTTGAGCTAACGTCTAGAGAAAACTGAGTACCTCACATGAACAGTGTTATATCACTACAAATAACAGTATTGCTATAGTAGGAAGGACATACACAGTAGGGAAAAAAATAAATAGTATTTCTGTCACGTCTCTAGTTCATATAAATTTGTGCATTGTTTTACTGTAAATTTAAAATTAATTGTATTTCCCTTTGTGTCACAAAATGTGCTCTGTTAGGTCAATACATAATGAAATGTGCAAGAATTTAAGCTATTTAGATGTGCTGCCTTAGGAAAGGGATTGCAAAAAGTTTTTCCAAAATCGTGTTTACAGTGAGGATGACTAAGCACTGCAACAGGTTGCCCAGAGCTATTGTGGAATCTCCTTCCTAGAAGATATTGAAAACTCAACTGGACAGGGCCTTGGGCAATGCGCTGTACGTGACCTCGCTTAAACAGGGAGGGCTTGAACTAGAGGATCTTCAGAGGTCTCTTCCAACCTTTTTGTGATAAGAAGGCATTCCTTTTTATACATTTTACATACAATGCAATTTCATTTGCTGTATTATTGCTTTAAAACACACCCCTAGTCCTGAATTGAATAGTCTTGCTGA